CCAACAGCCTCGTTTAGCAAGAAACGGTACGTAGTCATTTTCTCTCCTTCTAACGTCTCTTGGAGCAATAATCTAGTTTTGATCAGTTCCCAATTTGTTCGTCATTTTACTACCACTACCAAAATGCTTCACGAATTTTCTTTTTTTATACAAATTTGTATTCCCTCATGAGAGTAAGACAATTGGTGCTAATTAACTGGACAAAAGAAAGTGTACAAGGGATTCTGGTAGTGGTAATAAATGACGCTATAATGCAAGTGCAGTGTTCTTACCCGGAAGCGCTATTGCGGGAATCGCGCATAAAAAAACAGAAATGGTGCACAATTGTCAACTCAGTACGCCCCCAAGGGTGCATGAATTATCCAAAAAATACTTCCTGATAATTTTAAAAGATTTATAGTACTTTTGAAATAATAAAAGTCGCATTATATTGTCAATAAACAAGGGGAAAGTCCACAAGGTCTGGGACTAGTCTATGTTAACTGAACTCGTTTATTGGAGGCTCAAGTATGGCTGCCGAGCGCAAGTTTATTGTATTTTCATTACTAATAAAAAAACTGTCTTACATTGTTGTAGATTTGCAACAGAGTTGCTGGCAAAAAACATTATTATTCTTTGTGTTAAGATTTTGGAAATGGCCCATCCAGTTTTCTAAATGGCCCCTAAATTTTGGATTGGTGGGCCCTTTGACCCCCTGAAAGAAATTCCTGGTCAGAACACTGCAAGTGTCCTATTACTACTCTTCCCAGTAGACCGAGGCAGTTGTGCTTTTTTTATCGCGTTCGTATAGCGTCTTTAATGTGATCCAGAAGTACATTTCAAATCGGCCACGTGATGCCAATGTTGTACCACGTGGAGAAGTTTTTTACACCACGTGATTAAAACTTGACTGAATTTTAATCACATGGTGTACATGTAAAAAACTTGTCTACGTGGTACAACATTGGCATCACGTGGCCGATTTGAAATGTACTTCTGGATAACATAACAGACGATACGAAGACGAACGTTTGTGCAATCTCAAAGTGTTTGTTTCGTTGAAATTGTGCATTCTTTATTTTACCTTTGGTATTTATGATCCTTGTGGTATTTAATGATTGGATAATCCATTTTCCAGATGGGCATTATTCATCCTACCAGCAGCGATCATGATCTTGATGAGCTTCCTCTGTTTTGCTCTCCTGGAGACGGAAGACAACTACAAGTACATCCACAGCCTAGGGCACGTTCTCCTTGGCTTCGGCATCGCYCTGTTACTCCCTAACCACCGCCCCTACGCCCGTCGGGGACACTACGATATGATCCGAGAACTGGATGGCGACACGACGAGGGAAGAAAGTATTAGCCGTAGGAATCTGGTGAATGAAGTAAGGCATGTTTAAGACTGAACCACGACCTAAAACGGAACTTAGCTGATGTAGATGTGACTGTTCTGTTCATCATTGACATATATTCTTTATCTTGCTTCCTTAAAGAGAAAACACTCCTCATAAATGATGGACTATCTTTAAACAACAGCAAAAGGGTCTAGGTATAACTGTAATAAGCAAGCTTGCTATATAAACTTTTTTCAATAAATTTAGTCACCAAACTGAATCTAAAATGCTGAGGCCGCTGARGATCATKGGAAACATTTCATATCAAAGAAGTAAAAATTTTGATACAAAAAGTGCTGTGAAACGTTAACTGGTATAGGATCACARGTTCATTGATCAATAGWTATCAAKYGGTTGAAACAMGTACAATATATCTACCCATAATCCTTKCTGGTCTCAGTTTTGTAGCTTTTTAGGTGACTAACTTTCTTGAAATTGCTCTATTTCACTTGACGTCATTTCCTGTCTCGTGCGGAATGTTCATCAGGTGAATCAGTTCAGATTTCCAATATAATTGTTTCTAGCTGACAGCACATGGTGGTCAGTGTTTGACCACAATTTGGAGCAGATAACGAGATTCAAATGCTYTTATTAACTGATTGAAACCCAGCAATAGASATTTTGCTTTATCACGTGCCGGGGCCCATAATACAGCTTGGGCTGCCTGTGGTAAGATGGCAGAACAATAACATCCCTTATCTCTCAGTAATTGAATTCTWTCTCATGTAAAACGATTGTATTGTTCCTGCGATCTAACATGGCTGCCGTCACGTGGTAGTACAAAACCTCTATAACATTGAAAAATCAAGTTTCGATTTCGATTTTTCATTGGCATTGAATAGCCATGTTGCGCCATGTTTTCCCATTTCAGATGCAGCAGCTAGATTGACCATGCATTACTGAGAAGAAAGGCAGTCAAATTTAGAAAGAAAATGCAGGTAGTGAGTTATACTTTCAAGGTCAGAAAACAGCTTAAACTTACAGCATATAACTTATTTGCACTTCTTGTTTTATTCGTGGGGTTGCGTAGCGGTAGTGCATCACTTCTGTTGTCTCCGGTTCGATTCCTGAACTCGGCATCACGTGTAATGAAAAGGTGTACTTAACTGTCGTTTCGGACACCATTCCGGCGTCGGAGAAAAGAAAACAGTAGTGCGCTCGCCTCTCACCTGATCTGAAGTMTCGGGTTTGATTCCTGGAATCGGACTTACATGTGAGAAGTATAGTTTTTCAGTGCTCTCCCTTGATTCKGTGAGTTTTTCTCCAAGTTTATCGACTTTCCTCCCTTCGCACGTGACCCACAATTTTTAGCTTTTAACCAATCAGCGAGCGACACTGAAATGGCTTAAATTTTGAGCATTGGGATTGGATTAATGGATGTACTAGTTTGGCAAATTTCCATTGGTTCACAGCGGAAGCCATTTGATTGTCACATACTGTCTTTCCACATACYGTCTTTGTTTATACCATTTGCACGGTACTTGAAAAATATTTAAAATGTCCCAAGAATTAAATTCCTGGCGATAAACC